AATTCAAACTAGACTTCTAGAAAATAAGCGTGTATAATCTTCTTCATTGTTAAGTTGAATAAGAATGTGTCATCCATCTAAAATTCCAATTTTTCACTCCCCAAAAAGGTGCATAAGCTCAATTTTTTTACAAATAAGCTCTAGTTTGGGATGGTCATAAAGGAATTTCCCAACCAAATTCAGAAGACAAGAGGAAACAAGCATATTACATTCAGCATCAGTAAAAAAGATGGCAGATTTCTTATTCTTCCTAACAGTTTTCTTCATGAAACAGAATTCGCTACCCTCAGACAGAATAAACGAAGGCAGGAACATACACGATTTAGAAGTACATGAGGCGTGGGCACCCGCAAGAGCAGCAACATAAGTTCGCTCCGAAGCCATCACAGGTAGAAGCAGGAGACAAAGTGTTGTTAGGCAAAGGATGTCGACGTCTTCGCGTAGATCAAGCGAGAGGCTGGGCTCGACGAGGCGACGAATCTACTTCGACGCGATCCCCTACCCACTTCTTCGAGCACGACGAGGCGACAAACCTGCAACTACGCAATCCTCTACCCTCTTCGAGGACGAGGCAACGAAACTGCTTCGACGCGAACCCCTGCCCTCCTTCAAGCACAATGAGGCAACGAACATACTACGTTATCGTTTCGGAGTAAAGATACTCGAGTCGCCATAGAGACGCGATCAGAGTAAACCCTAGCAAAGCAAAACCCATTGAAAATATGTATATATATATATATATATATATATATATATATTGAAATTCAAAATAATGCGGAATTAAGCGGGATTCGGAATAATTTCATTGATATGAAAACTGGTATAAATAACTCTTACAAATAGCTCTTATAATAAGAAAGATGATGAAAAGAATTAATATAAAAAAGATAGATATATCATTAATAATATCCAATAATCAAATCATTTTAATTATTTAGAGCATAAAATAGGAAAGGCTAAAATATGAAAGTAAATAACTTCTTAATCAAAAAAAATAATTTACTCCTCATAATTTCTCACAAGAATAAATTAGTTCCCAATATCTTCTATCACTCCCCCTCAAGTTGAAACAAGGTTGAAAATCTGTTAAACTTGGATTTGAAAACTCGAAACAATGGGTGAGAAAGATCTTAAGTGGAACTTGAAGTCTTTATCCCAAATTATTAGTCTTTGAGTGTAGTTCCTGTAGTATTTGTAGGTACGCGGAAGGCTCCTACAGGTAATACTGCAAGGGAGTTTGTAGGAAAGTAGACTACAGAGTTTCAGTTCTTGCATTGTCTATAGATAGACGGAAAATTCCTACAGGAATTGCTACAGGCGATTTTCCAGGGAATTAGACAACTGTTATTGTCTTTTGACTGTAGTTCTTGTAGTGTTTGTCAGTAAACAGAAGGCTCCTACAAGTAATGCTGCAAAGGAGTTTGCAATGATGCAGACAAGCAACACGAAAAGTTGAAGGGATGGCTGGCAGAAAAACAACTCAAAAGGAAGGCCTCATTGCAGGAAAAGGCTCCAGGGGAGGATGTGCTGAAGGAAGAATTCAGGTGGAGGTTCTGCAACAGTGAAAGCCCTAGATGAGGGTCTGATGTAAGAAAAAATTTCGGAGTATAGAATGATACAGGAAAAGGCTCTGAAGAAGGGTCCACTACAGTAAAAGCTCTGGAGGGTCTGATGCAAGAAAAGTTTCAGAGAAGGGTCTGCTGCAGAAAAAACTCCAGAGGAAAACCATTTGCAGGAAAAATTTCCGAGGGAGACCTGCTATAATAAAATATCTTGAACAGGATGATAATGAATTGAATGGGATTCCACCACATAAGTTGCCATGGAAACACCTGCACTAAATAAGTCTCTGCATTGACTCTATAGAAAGTTAGTCTAAGGCCATCATTGGACACTGCCCCTGTCTGATCATATATCCACTCAACACCCTCACTCGCAAATGGAAGCCACAGCGGCGACGCCAAGCAAGTAGCTTAGGGAATCAAGGAAGTCAGACTGTTGGAAACCAGAAAGTTAAGCTATTGCAGGGTACAAGTGCCACAGAATAGCGGGAACGAACTGCAAGAAAGGCAGCGGTGGTCCAGCAGCAATGCCCTATTGAAAATCAAGAAAGTCAAACTGTTGAAAATTAGGAAGCCGAACTGCTGGAAATCTGCAGAAAATCGGGAAAGTTGGATTGCTGGAAACCAGGAAGCCAAACTGCACTAGGGAACAAGCACAACAAAAAATAGTGGGAAGGATAACAGTGAATAGGGGTCTTCCATTCTTATTTTTGGTGGTTGAAATGTGGGGGGAAGACAACTGAGAAAAATAGCTCCCCTTTCTGGGATTTCTCTGGCGGGAAGGACTGTTGTAGGAAAAATTCCGGAGAAGGGTCTGTGGCACGGCACGACTTGATATGGCATCACTTCTGATGAAGTCCAGCCTTCATTCCTAGAAATTGCATTACTAAATGAGGCCACGTGAGTCAAAGCATTTGCAAAATCCTTAGCATCAATAGATTCATCAATACAATCATCAAAAGCACATCTTGGTGATGAAGAACCATCGTCATCAATCATGGTGTGGTATGGTGTCTTGGGCTCTATGATTTCTGCCTCACTCGTTTATTTGATTCAATCACATGCAAGTTTGCCTCATTCCATCTCACACGATTACTCATCTTAGAAAGCAATAACCCACTTTTATAGAATATAGATCGTGCACCTCAGAAAAGCTGCTCCTTTGATTTGATGCAAAGGTCGAAGGAAAAGCCTGCTCCTTCAAACTCTAGGTTTAACCGTTGAAGAAGATGCTCGAGCGCCTCAAACTCTCGAACGCCAACGTCTGAGTTACTTTGGTTCGAACCTAGATTGAAATCAAACCGTTGAAGGCGAGGATCGGGCGCCTCAAACTCTCAAACACTAACGTCTACTCCTACTTCGCTTCAACCCCTATGTCGAAGACGAACTTTCGAAGAAAATGCTATGGCGCTTCGAACTATTGAAGGCGATCGCACCTCGAACCCTCGAACACGTCCTTTGCTCTTGAGGTCCTTCAAAGCCGAAATTTTCAATCAAACCTTTTATTTCACTCGCAATTGTTGAATTTGACCGATTAGCTTCAGCCCCTAACAATGTGCTTCACAAATGCGATCGAATCAAGCAATCTCAGAACGACGGGATTCAAACTTCAGCTAATCAAGATAAAGGATGCTCAAACATGGAAGAAGCTTTGGAAAAGCTTTGTAAACCTTAGTTCAGAGACGAAAGGTGAAGAAATAAAATCAATCTAGAACTTGTTATACGCAATTCGGGGCCGAAGTTGTGGGATCCCAGTGAGTAAGGAGGTCATGCTCAGAAGTACCTACAGGGATCTCTTCCGTCGGCGAGGGTCTGGACGAAGAGAAAGAGTCCCTCCATTTCTGCCTGCACAGAGGATAGCAGGAAGGGAGTCCGATGGTTCTGGAAGAATGACTGGTACCTAAGCTACGAAATTATGCTCTGGTACCATGTTGAAATTCAGAATAAATTGGAATTAAGCGAGATTCAAAATAAATTCATTGATATGAAAGCAGGTATAAATAACCCTTACATGAAACCTAGAATAGGAAAGATAATAAAAAAATAACATGAAAATGAAAGATATATCATCTAATATCTTTAATAATCAAATTATATTAATTATTTGGAAATACAGGAAATAACATAAAATAAGAAAGCCTAAAATAGAAAAGAAATTAACTCCTAACCGAATGAAATAAATATAAAATAGGAAAGATAATAACTCTCTAATCCAAGAAAATAATTTATTCCTGATAATTTCTAACTAGAATAAATTATTTTCTATTATATCTCCTAACGATATATATAATAATGTGGTCGAAATATAGGTCCACGAAATAGGAAACATAAATCCTTCTAAATTAGGAATCCCACCAAATAGGAAAAACAAAAAAAATTAGAAAATATCAAACAAAAGAAACACAATTAATGAAACATATCATGAGGAAAGGGAAAAAATTTTCTTCCTAATCAAGCATGTGGATTGGCACATTCCTACAAACAATTAAGAAGATTTCTCAAACTATGATTTGAAACATCTGTTTGCCATTTATCTGAAGGTGAGATATTTAACTGTACGGAAACTTTTTAACTAAAGTATAATATAAAATTCTTCCAAAATGACCAAGAAATTTCACATCCCTATTAGAAGTAATGGTTTTAAGTATATCAAGAAGATGAACAATCTCCCCAATGTATAGGTCTGCAATGTGTGCGCATCTATCAAGAAGAAGAAGTGTCAACTTGGAGAAATAGTCAATCACTACTATAAAAGAATCCTTACACCATAATGCTTGGAAAAAAGGATCAACAATTATAGGTCTGCCAAAATGTACAGCAAGACTTGTAGCAAACATGCAATGTAACAATCAACAAGTATAACGAATAATTCAGAAAATTAATCCAAAATAGGTAGTACAAAGCGAATATACGAAGGTTTTTAATAGATTGATGTAATGTATGGCTTTAGAAATTAGAGTGTCAATTAGTTGTTATACGGTTCATGTCTGAAGAATCCTGAGAGCTTTGTAGTTGTGCCTCAAAGCAAAAATAAGAAGGGATAATTACATAGAACCAAAAACATTTCTATTACAAAATCTAGCACCCAACTAAGATTTTTAGACTACTAAACCGACTTATTTACGCATGCCACGATCAAACCATTGAGAATTTGATAAAAATGAAAAATATTGGTTGGCGTTTTTATCATGAATTTTGATAATTGAGTGAAAATTTAAAAAAAGGATGAACGAGGGTCTTAGATTTATAAATAACAATGTTTTGGGTGCTATGTACGTAACTACCCCTCGTAACACCTCTACTAAGCACGCCTACTTACTAACAGAGGCTTGGTCTCTGTCAAATCAGCCAAAACATGCAGTCAAAGAATAAAACTCCATCAAGAATTAAATATTAATTTGTTAGTATAAAGTTCATGCTAAAGTAAATATGGAGTACCTTACAAAATACGTTTATTGAGAAATTTTGAATCAATTCGTGCTGAAATATATGTGGAAACTTAGGAATTTGACCAGAGTCAGGAAGAGACCATATATGTTGAACAGGTGGTCTAACTGCATGCCTTTCCTTCTTTATAAGCTTTGATGGATCTATCGAAACTGGTTTTTCAGGAGAAAGACTCCCAGAAAGTCCACTTGGCAACTTTGGAACAAGAAAATTTGCCATTGCACCAAATGCAGAGGGAGTATGAACTGGAGGTGCCTCTTTATCTTCTAGTGCCCGGCCAAAAGCAGCCTAAGAAAACAGAAATTAGAAAAGATGCAGAATAAATCGAGAGGAGCGAATTTTCAGAAGTTAAAAAAGTTGCAGTCTCCCATGTCAACATACTTCAATTTGATAAACTGCCTTGTGAATGTCGACAATGTCCCCAACTAAATATAGAGTAGCATTTGCAGGAAAGTACCAGCGTTCATGGAATCTACGTATTTTTTCTGCGTCCCAAATTTTAATCTGTTCTTCCAATCCAATTGGGAATCTTTGACTCAGTTTGTTTTCAGAATGCAGATGTTGTAACAACTGTTGGTTGAGGTATAGACATACGTTAGGGGCTTACAAATTACAATACAAAAAACCATGGAAGCTTGTGTTACTCGGAATACAGGCAACTAATTTAGCACTTCTTACCTGGCAGTCAACACGATATTCTATGGTGTTCATCATTTGTAATTCAGATAGGATAGCCCTTCTCTCTTTTTCTACACGAGATGGAAGAAACTTGGGATAGAAAGCTATCTGAAAGCATAAGCACATTTTGTAACAAAATTGTAGTGCACATGAAAAATAAGCATATAAATTCCTATATTTAGGCACATCCATGCATACACAAATAAATTCAATGCCGCTAAAGAAACCACTGCAAGATATGAAAAGAATGAGCATATCACCATTAGCACAACAAGCCTCTGCATGCATGTGGTAATAGAAATAACTTAACATTAATATAAAACATTGGTTATTTCTTAATAAAGGAAAATTGAAAAGCAAATAGAAAAATCATACATGCCTAATAGCGATAACTAAAAAAACAAGAATTTTTTAGATGAAAGAAAATTATGTGCATCCACGAATGATCAAATGAAGAGAATAGAGTTGGTGATTTTCAACACCTAAAATCTGAAATCCAAATGTATTTAGACAAGGGTGGCCAATGACACGCAACAAAATCATATGTTTGAATAGGCACAACAATAAAAATAAAGAAACAGCTGCTTATAGTAACCAAAAAACGCTATGGATGTTTAAGAACACAAAATGATGCAAAAAACAAACGACAGCATGCATAGAAAGGGGCAGCTTCTCTTGATAGAAAATAAAATAAGACAAACATAAAACAATCATCCATGCTTAACAATGTAGGATAAGCATTTGAAAAACATTTCTGCGAATATGAATGCGCCAAGTAGAGATCTGGTTGAGTTTCTAAATCAGAAAAAAGTGCTAGAAATCAAAAATGATAAAACATAAATACCGGTTGTAATCCAACAATAGCACCCAATGACACATAACAACCAAATCATATGTATGAATAAACACAAGATGTGAGATGAAGTTGAGAATCAAAATCATCACAAACTAGCTATAGGTTATTTGCTATTCTATGAGTTTTGTCAGTAATACGGGAGCGTCTCCTACGTGATGCGGGTCGCAAAAGCGGGATCATATCTAGCACTTGATAAATTCCACACGACCAGTTATATTGCCTAGACCGAACCGGTCCAAGGATTTCTCCCTTCCAAGGAGCCGCCCAGTCCTCTTCAGCCACTTCTAGTTGTCCTCTTATTATATATATATATATAT